TTTTTTTTCCGCCGGACATTCTTATAAAAATTACAAAAATCATCAAATGAATTTAAAAGTAATGAAGAAATTTAAATCAAAAATTATTGAAGGTGATGTTGTAAAAGTTTTGAAAAAATTAGATAGAAATAACAAATTTGATGTGATAATAGCCGATCCCCCATATAATATTGGGAAAGATTTTGGAAATAATGTTGATTATATGGAACTACAAAACTATATTAATTGATCTAAAAACTGAATTGAACAATGTTTAGAACTATTATCAGATAACGGATTAATATATGTTTATGGTTTTTCTGAAATTTTAGCTAGGGTAGCTTCTCAATTTCCTTTGGAAAAACAAAGATTTTTAATTTGACATTATACTAATAAAACTTCTCCATCTTCAAATTTTTGACAAAGATCACATGAAGCTATTTTATGCTTATGAAAAAACAAAAGACCAAATTTAGAAATCAATCAAATAAGAGAACCCTATTCTAATAATTACTTAAAGTTAAATGGTAAAGAACGTGCTAATACCAAGGGCAGATTTGGAAATAAAACAACAACCTATAAAGTTAATGGACAAGGAGCGTTGCCGAGGGATGTTATTACAATTCCAGCCTTAGCAGGAGGTGCTGGAATGATGGAAAGACATTTTATGTGTAAAGACTGTAATAAAAATTTATATCATTCGAGTGAAAAAAAAAATCATGAAAATCATAATTTACTAATTCATCCAACACAAAAACCAATTCAATTAGCCGAAAAATTAATTTTTTCAAGAATAAACGGCAATGAAGGTAGAATTTTAATACCTTTTGCTGGGTCAGGATCAGAGTGTGTGGTAGCCGAGATGAACAACATAGAATATCTAGGAGTTGAAATAAATCCTGAATATATAGAGTATGCCAACAAATGAATCGAGTTAATAAGAAACGACAAACAAAAGGTAATGAATAAAGAAATAATTTATAAAAATTGAGAGTAATAATGTATAAGTTAACAGATAGAATGATTCAAAATCTTGGAAAAGATTTAGAGATATTTCATAGCCTTTTTAGCGAAGGACGTTGCGAAGCATGACAATTGGAAGAATTAATTGTTAGAGCTATAAAAAGTGATCATAGTAAAAGTGAAAGCGTTGCTTGGAGTGGCAGAGGTCATGATGTTGATAAAGATATTCGAATAACAGAAGCAAACGATAAAGTTAATGATATACAAATTAAATCAGGAAAAATTAAAAAAACAAGCGTAGTTGTTTCTGGTCATAGAACAGGACGTTTTGCAGGAGATTTAGATAAAATAAAAGAATTTTTAAATTCGAATAGATATGATACTTTTCTTATACCTTACCGTGAAGAAGTAGACAAGTTAGGAAAGCGATTTATATATCAAATTTTTTATGCCGATTCAAATATTTTTAAAATTGATGGTGATTGAGAACTAAAAATTGGTAAAAAAGGAGCCAAAACATATTTTACTCAAAATTCTAAGGGTGTTAAAGTATCTTTAATAGAGAGTATGAGTTGACAAATTTGATATGAAATTCCACTAAGTATATTGACAAATTCTACAAGAGAAATTATTTTATAAGCAAAATAAAAAAA